GTCATCTGCAATGTCAATGAACATCTTCTTGGCCGCATCAGGTTCCAATGATTTCAAGGGCGGCACAAATGGGTGAGTCCACTGTACTCTTGCAGGCCTTTCTGCACCTCGCATCGTAATCTATTCAGTCTGTCAGTTTAACAGTCAAGTCACATGGAGGTTTAGACACACAATCAATGCAAGATGATAGATTCCTGTGAGTAAAGACAGAAATTCTTCAATCTCTTTGCGCAATTGACCTGGTTCCCATACAGTTTCGAGATTATCTATGACCAGAAGTGACGGAGGGTTTTGAGAAAATTGCTGGATCACTGCCTGTGTGAGGTCTTTGCCTGGCTTCAGGCCTATGTGGGTTCCAATAATCGAAGCAAGTTCAACTTTGCTGGTCACTGAGTCACAAGAAACAAAAAAGCGATGTTCTCCGTATTTTGCAGCAATTGCTCGGTGATGCAGCAGCACTTTTGCTAAGCTGCTCTTGCCCATTCCACCAGGCCCTAGAATAGCTATCCGAGGGGCTGTTTGGTTGAACTGCGTAAGAATTGCTGTAAGTTCTGACTCCCTTCCATGGAATATCTGGGGCTCAGATGGAAGCATTGAGATTGAGTTGGAGCTACAAAGTATGAGGACCTCAGTGAGTAATGACATAAAGGCTTCCATATGAAAATCTACCTTGTAAAAGAACCCGAATAGATTCCACTGATCTGTGCAATTATCAGTGCCTATCATTGCGGGCGGAGTTTCCGTACAGAAGACCTGTCCGAATAAGTCTCGATCATGTTAAGGACATCTTGGTGTCTCTGCTCAGTGTCCTGTTGTATTTTGTTGATATCGGACATGAGAGAGATAGTATCAACCTATATATGGGTTATGTGAGCTTGCCGATGTTGGCGTAGTTGTTTGCCAACCTGGAAAACATCAAGACTCTCCTGTAGCCCAGATTTGCATTCCTTGAGCAAGGTGCTCATTTCACCACGGTGGAAAAACTTTCTGACTTTGCTGCTATTCTGCTGGGATTCAACAAATGTGTTTATCTTTTGCAGGGTCCTGAATATGGAGCTTAAAACATTCTTTCTGTGCCTTTGGACCACATACCCTGTGAATTTTCCAAGATGTTTGAGAATGTCTGGTGTGAAATCTCTGTCCGCATCTGATTTGATATGCAGGACGATGATGGCATCAAGCAGTTGCTGAGTCTGCTCTAACAATTGGTTGCAGTCATCCTGGTTTTGTTTGATTGTCTTGAAAGGACTGAGTAGGATGCACCAGGATTACTGACTTGGTGACTACTTACCTGGACATGTTTCAAGAGAGACTGGGTTGTATTGGTTATGGCCATAAGAACGGGGTCCGTGAAACTATCCGATAACATTTGCAAAGTGCTTGCAGTAATGGTTAAGCATTTTGCAATGTTTTTCAAATGAGAGGACATGATGGAGTCTTAGGGAGATGGGCCAGTCTCAGCGAGAGGGCTGTCAGTACTTATACTAGGCACCACCCTTGAGAACACACATATTTAAAGCTCATTCTCTCACTCCGCAGCAAATGGTGAGGGTTTCGGCGAAACAATATCAGATCAAGATAGATTGCACTGATTCTCGTAGTACTGTGATTCAAACAGTCACTGCAACAATCTCCCTCCACAGACAGCCCATACAAAAGCGTGGCCCTAGATCGAGTTCAACCTGGAAGCTGATGTTTTCTGGTATCACAGGCCACCAAATTGCAATACTATTTTTAACGGTCTTCTCATCATCGAGAATATGAGTGCCCGAGGGGTTGCACTATAGTTGGTTCCTTATCAACTTCTGGCGATAGATATGTACCCAAAAAAATAGAGCAACCTAACACGACTCTATACCAATTTATTCATACCATCTATGGGCAACAGAAGATCAACGGTGGTGAGACTTGGCTCGTTGCGAGTCACGTAGTCTAACCAAAATTTTGGGACATAAATACTCACGTATATTCTGCCACATTCCGTGGGTTCGATCACATTCTTCTTGGAAAAAAGAAAACCCACCGGCAATTCTACTCACATAATCAACGGAATTACTGTCCCTTTCAGCCAGCGCACAACCAGTGGCTGACGACACACCCTGTTGATGCTGCCAGTATCCGGGGAGCAGATGAAGCGGGTTCTGAGTTGATATCTTTGGCTGTCTGGTAATTATGGTCTCACCCATCCGCAGCTCAACATTCTCAATCTTGATTATCCGTCATGTTGTGATGGAAAAGATATGTGCCGGGGTTACTCGCAGATGCTGGGAATCAAACCCGGTGTGGAAGTGCGGAATGTCCCGCTGGTGGACATCCCCCTTCTCACGACTTGCGAACACGAAGCTTGTTTTGTCTGGCGAACATCGATTGTTTCATTTCTCTCCCACTTTCCATCTCACTCGATAATTTCAGTTTTACTCACTCATATCCATCTTTCCAGTATCCAGATTTACTGTGCAGCTGCGCAAGCGTGTCCGTACGCCATCCACTGCCAAGCCAGTTCGAACGAGACATCAAGTTGAATTCCTCAAGCACGCGGGAATTATTCGTGATTGAGCTTTTGGGCTGCTTTACATATACTTACGCTCACTCATAATAGGGTGTTTCACAGTAGAGTTTTCGACACCGTTTTCGCTCGGTTTTCGATTCAGTTTTCGATTCAGTTTTGAGCGAGGTCACGGTGTGACGTTCCTGCTTTGGGTGGCGGCGTCTGTCGGCCTGTCAGAGCGGACCTTGAAATTCAAGTGCCGAAATAGGTGAGAAAACTATTTTTCGCAGCTTTCTGTCGCTCACTGATGGTGGACATGATAGAGGAGGACAGGATACAGTCTCAATCGGTAATTTACGACGATAAACCGCATAGAAATCACGCTGAGCGTGTCAAGTATTGGAGTGCGTGCTATGTTTATTCTCGGCACGTGAGCGCAAATGATACGCGCGCCGCTCTGCCGATGCCGTTTTCGCCGTTTTCACGGGCCCGAGCGATCAGAGTTGAAAACGATGGCCTTTCTGTCACGCTCCGAACGAAAACCGAATCGAAAACTGGCTCGAAAACAGTGTCGAAAACTCTACTGTGAAACACCCTAATATACAACACAGTCGCTCCATTTTATTCTCTACGTACCGCCAACGCGACGTGCCAGACCCGAGTCATCGGCCTTCTCGGACTACGCCGGGGATCGAGCCGACAGTAGCTTGGGCACCCACTTGTCAACGTTGTGGGGGCGACGTGCTCTCCCTATACCGTCTTTGTGTAGCTCCCGGAAGGTTGGATTGGCGGAGGCCTCGCATTAGCTTAGGCTTTTCGAGATTCAACCACGGACTCTTACTTACACATTTGTTTTGACACATCATTACTACCTGTTTATTTGTAACGGGGATCTCTCCTTGCTTCGTACCACCACAATGCACACAGCGTGCTGAGTATCCGCGCGTGAATCCACGTTCCTCTGAGCACTCTTGAGCTGAGTTTATCATTTATCTACCATACTTCCTGATCTACGCCTCTTCCAGATTTCTGCTCCTCCACTTCCCTCGAATTGCTGCACGCATCGACGCCACGGCCAGTACGACCACGACACCCTCAGGTCCTCGCTAGGACCTATCTTCTCTTCTTCACTGGACTCCCGCATTCAGGTATCTATTGCCAGCGGGGGGGCGACATCAATGCACAACGTCATGAATCCTATCGAGGTAGGAGGTTGATATCGACTGAAAAGGATATATTCACGCTGTAAAAAAGACGATTGCCAGTGCGCAACTCAGACGCCGGGAATTGAAACCGGTCTCCCGCATGACAAGCAGAGCAAGCACATTTCTAGGGGTACGTCTGATATTTTACACTGGTTTTGTAGTCCGTAAAGCGATAGCGATTCACAGGGTTTAAAAGGATCATGTTGGACATCGGATATGACGAGCACCAGTCAGAAAGATCAATATTTGGGCTCTGGAAAGAGGTCGGTTAGACAGAACGAATATCTTGTGTAGCCTGAATAAAGCCGAGCACCTTAGTTTCGTTTGATTCGAAAACGAAAGAAAAACACCTTCATTAAAGCTGAATTTCGGACGCCAGACTGGAGCGGGGCACCCCTTCTGGTGCGAGTCACGGTCCCAAAAAATACCCAACCGTTTTACTGGCATTCGGACGCCGGGAATCGAACCCGGTCTCCACGTGCACACACACACATACGCTTTTGTGAATTGGCGGCGGGTGTCCACCGTGCCCCAAGTCGAGGTTCTCTACTGGTTTTGTTGTCGGTGAAGCGATGGTGATTTCAGAGGATTTGGAAGGTATATGACGAGGCACTGGCAGCGGGATCAGCATCTTGAGTCAGTGCTTGGACAGAACGAATATAAAAAATTGCTTGCAAGTTCAGTAAAGCTGGGGCACATCTGTGTATTGTTGGGATTCAAAAACAAAAGAAAAAAACCTCCCATACACTCTTCATTTCGGACGCTGGGAATCGAACCCAGGCTCCCACGTGCACATACGTTCATTGCAATTGGCGGCGGGTGTGAACCGTGCACCACGTCCGACGTTCTAAACTGGTTTTGTAGTCCGTGAAGCGATGCTGATTTCAGAGGAGGAAACGTACTGTATCACTCATCGACCACGCACTACGCAAAAGGAAAACAGTATCTGGGACTGGACGTTTGACAAAGGGGAGGTTAAAAAATGTGTGCTACTTGAATAAGATGGAGACGCACCTTGTTGGATCCGAAAAAGAAAGAAAAAGCTCTTGCTAGTCGCGACCTGCATTTCGGCCGCTGGGAATCGAACCCGGTCTCCCACGTGCACATATATACGCTTTTGCGAAGTGGCGGCGGGTGTGCACCATGCACCACGTCCGAACTTCTATACTGGTTTTGGGGTCGGTAAAGCGATCGTGATTTCGGAGGATTTGGAAGGACCATGTTGGACCTCGAATATCACGAGCACAGGGCAAAAGGGACCAGTATTTCAAAACAAAGAACAAGAAAATCATGCAACTTGAGCACACAACGGACGCTGGGAGTCGAACCCAGGCTCCCGGTTATACATATCCGCAACCTCAAATTGCCAGCGGGTGTGCACCGTGCACCACGTCCGAGCTTCCATACTGGTTTTGTTGTTGATAGCGTTGATCTGCGAATTGGCGGCGGGCGTGCACGGTGCACCACATTCGAAGTTCTGTACTAGTTTTGAGGTCCTAAAGGGATGATAGTTTCGGGGGAAACGTGCCTTCGACACCGCTAAAAAGGTAGGATTCAAACAGATCCCGTATTTGAGTGGCTGAGGCGGCCCTTTTCTTTTGGTGCCAAGTCGCAGAAAAATAACAGTACACCCCAAAGCGGATTCGGACGCCGGGAGTCGAACCCGGTCTCCCGCTTGTCTCCCGCCTTGTCATTTGCGACGCTAACATTGGCAACGGGTGTGCACCATGTACCACGTCCGGGTTACCTTGAGTCGTTTGCCAGGCTGGAAGGGGGAGTTCTCGGCCGTGTTTGAGGGTAAGTTCAGAGTTTCAGAGTGTCCCGACTCCCTAATGATGGTCCATGGATGATGGACCCGAAAATTCACGACGACGAGCGGCTCCTCAGGAGCCTGTCGAGGACACAAGAAAGGAATTTCAGTGCGTGACGGGAATCGTATGTCTGGTGAATTGAACGAGCGAGTCCGAGAGAAAACGAGTTATTGCGAACCTGAACGTCAAGGGCAATCCGGCCATCTCCGAAGCCCGTGTACGTCTATTTACCTGCAGCTTCCCAGCGCCTCAGCCACACACCGACGTCATGTCTCATACTCCACCGCCTGCCAGGTCGCCGCGCCCGTATAAAAGACAGCGATCTTCTGACCGGAAACTCCTCAAAACCCCACCTGCTTTGACCTGAAAAAATCCCCGCGATCTTTCTTTCGGATTTGACGCCGAATTCTCCTCGGATTCTATTTGGATACCTCTTGCTCGTCGGATCTCCTCGTTCTACCCTCGAAAACACCGTCTACAACACTCGGGATGACCTCTACGTCCTCCGCACCGAACATGGTCCCTGCAATCGCCTCCACGGCGCTCCCTTCGACGCCCGCGAGCGAATGGGCGGAAGGCATGAACGACATCCTCGGCTCGCACGTTACGCGCACGCCGGTGACTACGCCTGGGCCTGCCGTCCCTGGCGGCTTTCCAGCGCACCTCGAGCCTGACCCACAACCCGCCTTGTCGACAGAGAAGGATCCGGTGAATGGGCAGGGGCAAGGACAAGCACAGGACGGGTCGTTGCTTGAGAGCGCGCAGGCGTATTTGCCGACACTTGCGACCGCCAAGGCGTACTTGCCGCAGGGCGTCGCGGCGTATCTGCGTGCGTCTCCCTCACTATTTCACTACCTAGACTGATATTGACTCGTTCTCGTGTAGCGTCTCCAGAACCGCTAACCTCCGAAGCGTCTCTCCCGCCTCTCCCACCCTCCAGCTCCACCCTCGCCGCTTCCTCCGTGTCCGCATCTGCGTCCGCGTCCTCCGCGTCGACACTCCCCACCACCATCGACTCGCACGCCGTCGCTGCTCCCACGACCTCGTCCGACTCCCCATACTTCCCCCGCACCGCACCGCGCGCCTCCCCCGACCGCGGCGCCACAGACGACTCCGTCGCCCTCAGCACAATGGCGCACACCGGGCACTCGTACTCTTCTACCTCGCCCTTTGCCTCCCTCTCCGCCTCCACTACCTCGCCTTCCGTCTCCGCTACTCCCGCTTCCGGTAACGCTAACGCTGCCTCGCCCGCGTTAGTACAATCACCCCCAGTGCTCTCCCCGCGCGGAAGCACGGACCTCGCGCTCGCCGCACAGCACCAAGACCCGCACCCCCACCCACAATCGTCTCAATCTTCGCCGCCCCCATCGTTCTCCCTCTCCTCGTCCTCGCTCACACAGGAGCGCGACGCCGCGGTGCACGCGCAGGCGCAATCGAACGAGAACGTGCACGCCGTCCCCACCTCCTCCCTCGTCGGCGCGCATTCACATCCGCACGCCGTCCCCAATGTCGCGGAGCTGATATCAACACCCCCCGGATCGCTCCCCTCCCTCGACAGCGGGTACGCCGCGAGCACGGAGAGCGAGAGCGTCGCTACGCCTAGCTCCCTTGCTAATCTGTACGCGGGTATGGCGGAGCCAGAGACGCCCGTAGCGACCCCCGTGGTGCCCGCCGGTGCACAACAGCCTGTGTATGGGGTACCGGGGCAGGGACTGCGGGAAGGGGGTGTGCAGGCGAGGGTGGGGCTTGCGGGGGCGGGGATGAACCCATCTCCCTCTTTACATCCCGTTAACGCGGCACATTCGCCCGCACCCGTCGACGCTACGGCACCCGCACCCGTCCCCGCCCCCGCCCCCGCTCTTGAGACGCAGAGCTCGAGTGTGGATGGGGACGATGAGGGTGACGGTAACGCGTCTGGGGATACTCTCGATAACGAAGGTGATGTAGACGGCGTAGACGGAGCCGACGCCGATGCAGTAGAGGGTAGCGAGGGCAAAGACGTAGACACGGAGAAGAAAGGGAAAAAGGAGGGGAAGAAGCCGAAGCTGATGCAGCGGCTGAAGGAGAAGATGCATGTCGGGGGTGGGTCCGCGTAGAGAAATCGGACAACGGATAACGCAAAATTTGGACCTTGTACGAAGTAAATCAAATTAAATGAAAGCGGGTGATCCTATTCTTGTATTCTTGTATTCTTGTACTTGCGTCTAAAGTTACTGTACAAGACGAGTCCAGTGCGCTCGGGGAATTGATTCGATCTGTGCAGCACGCCTAAAAAAGCAAAAAAGAATAAAAATGGCAGTCATGTTTCACCATTCGGATGCTGGGAGTCGAACCCAGGCTTCCCGCTTACTGATGTGGAGCGAAAAGCGCAAGCGGGTGTGCGCCGTGCACCACATCCGATTTATTCTTTGGTGTGGGTACTGCAATAGCTGGAGAAAAATGGGTAAGTAGTCGAGAGACACCAAAAAGAGAACCCTTGATGTCGACGTAGACAACCCATTCGGATGCTGGGAGTCGAACCCAGGCTTCCCAACTGAGTGGAAAATTTTCTGCGCATCCGCCGCGGGTGTGCACCGTGCACCACATCCGATTTATTCTTTGGTGTGGGTACTGGGATTGGGATAGGTGGGTGAAATTCGGGTTTGCAGGCGTGCAACAGGCGGTTCGATTTTGATTGGGATTGAAGTTATTAAACGCGCGCGTTCCCCTTTGCGGTGACTGATATCGCGATGCAGCTCGTGCTGCCAATGCGATTCAGACTGTATCGACTGGAACCGGGGAATTGGTGCGCATTTATTCGGATGTTGGGAGTCGAATCCAATCGCTTTGGTAAGCTGGAAATCGTACCGGGCGTGCGCCATACACCACATCCGATTTGCTCTGCACGGTGCGTACTGCGATAGGTGGGTGAGACTTTGGTACGCAGACATGCAATAAGTACTAGCCTGAGGCGGTTCACTTTTGTTTGGAATTGAACCAGCCGTGTTCACGTCCTCGTTTCAAAGTTCGGGGCGTCCGATATCGCGACGCAGATCGTACGATTACACCGACTGGAACTATTACAGCATGAAGTCAGCATGAACGCGAAAAAAGTCTGCGCCGAACAGTACGTATTTGGATGCTGGGAGTCGAACACAGTCTTCCCACTCGCAGACAACGATATACATTTATTAGTCGACGCGAGGATGCACCATGCACCACATCCGGTTCGTTCTCCAGTGTTGGTACTGGGATAGGTGAGTGAGATTTCGATTTGCAGGCGGTTCATCTTTGCTTGGAATTCGGACGTGACGCATCTCTATGGCTGTGGGGTCGCACAAAAGTTCTCTTCGGATGTTGGGAGTCGCTCAGAGGTTCAAAGCACTGTTCATGGTGAGCAAGCGTGTATATACCGTCCACTACATCCGAATTGTACTTTATTGCGGATTGCGGGTACCGCGATCAAGCAGATCAATGGTCAATTCAACCCCGTTAAAGCCCAAATCGACGTTGTCTCCGCTCGTACAATTGGGGGGGCGACCAAATCTAGAAGGAACGTGAACAAGTTTGGAGCTCGGAGGATAATTACAGAGGAGCAGTCCCAGTGCCCACTGGGTGGATTTTCTTGCTCGCACAGTGCACAAAATTTAAAACGAATTACAGGCAATATTATACTAATTCGTCCAGTCATTCCATGAACCCCAGGATATCTAGCAATTTTGGTAAGTAACCGTGTCCACACTTGTCGTATTCCCGTTATCGTACACGGTCCCCTGGTCGTACCCCTGGTCGTACCCCTGGTCGTAACCCTGCAGGTTGTTCTGCATATCACTCAAGTTGAACATATTGGCGACGTCGAATGCATTCTGCCCGTCCTGCTGCTGGCCCTGCTGCATCTGATTCTGGCTTTGGCTTTGGTTCTGATCCTGGAAGCCTTCGACGAGCTGGAACGCATTTTGCGCGAGGCTGAACAAATTTTGAACGTTCGAATCCTGCTGCGGGTCCGGATTCTGTTGTTGGCTGGAACTCTGCTGTTGGCCGGAACTCTGTTGCTGCCCTGCACTCTGTTGCTGCCCTGCACTCTGCTGCTGGCTCGGACTCTGCTGCGCATGAGATTGGGGCTGCGGGTGGTTCTGGAAGCCGTCGACAAGTTGACCCGCGAAGTTGAGCACGACGGAAGTATCCTGCTGCACCTCGTTCGGGCCCTCAAAGACGCCGACAATTTTGTTGATGCCTTGTGCGGCCTTGATTCCCATGGACAGGCCCTCCTTCCAATTAACTTTGTGCGCCGCCGGAGAGGGCGCTGAGGGGATTTCCTGTGGCTGTTGCTGTTGGTACACCGCAGGAGCAACCGTCGGGGCGATTCCCTGTGGCTGTTGGGAGGCCTGCGGATGCGCAACTCGTACAGATTTGGGTTGGACGTATTGGGTTGGTTGGGTGATCTGGGCCTGGGGCGACTGGGCAACCTGAACGTACTGGGGCTGAGTGACCTGCGTGGTCGGAGCATACGCGGGAGGCGCAGGTGAAGGCTCCTGTGCTATCACCCCAGCTGCATGCCCAACACCCGACGACACATAGGAAGTAGCGCCTATGCCGCCTATATGCGTCATGTGTACTGGCGTCGAAGCTAGCACCGCGTTCCCAGCATCCGAAGAAACGCTGGATGCAACGCTGTGGATCGTACCGCCAGTGTAACTCGGCTGTAACGGCGCTTGAGGCAGCGGCTGCGATGGTCCCGTCCCACCAGCGGCCACCGGCACGGGAGGCGTCGCTGGTGATATTTTTGAAGGCATACCGCCAGGCGCTACGGCTGCCGGTGGCGCGGGTTTGGGTTGGACCGGCTTAATCTCTCGGCTTATGGCGGTAACATCGGCGGTCCAGGCTGTCGGAAAATTCCACGACGCGGAACTGTCGCCGTAAACTGCGTAGTATTCTCCCGCAATGAATGGGTTCAACGCAATGTACTTAACAAATGGAAAAGAATATAAGCATCATATCAGCTTGAAAGAACGGTGAACTCACCATGACCCCCCGCCGCCGAACCGCCTCTTGGGTGTTACGGATCATGGATTCAACCAAGGGATACTGGCCCCGTAGATCGAAGGTTATCGTGCCGTCGTTGTAAAGGACAATATATGATCCCTGCACCCCGAGCGCGAGGCTCGTCGGCCGCCGTATATTCATACAGCTCTGCAGCTCCTCCTCCAACATCGGCGGGATGTTCTGCCAACAAAACCCCGAGGGCGACATGGAGAAGAAGCTCGCGTTGGGGCCGAACACTGTGCGCGTGGTATGTCCCCCTTTTGATGCGACGCTCTTGATGAAGCGCGCTAGACGTCCGTAGGCGGGAACCATGCATCCATCTTCGGATAGTTTAGCAGAAACAAGGAGCGTCGGTCGGGGAACGTACCCTCATACCAGTCCTCTCCCTTGATGGTTTTCCAGCATAAAGCGTAGGTACCCGGCTCCATCGGGAACGCCAGATCGTACGGGGTATCGAGAGCTTGTGGATGAGCGCTGTCTTCAAGTAGGCGCGCCAGCCCCGGCGGAAGCGTCTTGTCGCTCCTGTATTTCATATATATTCAATCAACTCACACGTATCGACAAGGACCGACGTTGACTCACCACGCGAAAACGGACTCGGCGCTGCAAAAATACGCACGATTGGGGCCGAAAGAGAATTGACAGTTCATGGTGGGTGCGGGGAGTAGGTGGGGACCTCCGTTGACCGTCTTTTTTATAGCTAGACAGCGTTAGCGCCGCGCCGCTTCACGAGGAAGGCAGGCGTGTGGGATAGGTAATGTAACAGCAAAAGTGCGCCGTATGTCAAAGTAGACGCCGGGGTATCGTCAATTTGTCGGCAGATTTGTTGACCGACGACAACCGATCTGCCAACAACCAGGGATATAGTTCGCAACGAATGAGCAGTTATTTTGGTACAAGTTGACCGACCGGCTTCAAGGTGAAGGAGAATCGAGCCTGATTTTGTGACCTGCGATAGCAATGGGGTTGTGAAGCCGTCAAAGTCAAAGGCTGTCGCTCGGTTGCGTAGTGATTGATAACCACTCTGGCTGGCTGGTGGTATTTAGTAGGCAGATAGTTGACCAAGTGTGGCATAGAAATTCTTCGACCAAGCGTGAAACAGCTCGCAAAGCAATGTTAAAGAACGCCTTCGAGGTGCCGTGGGGAGGCATTATCGGTTTGATCCACATAGATGTCGGACACAGACAAGATAATAATCAGTGTCGGATGAAGATGGGTAGACAGTTGACACAGATCATCAGGGAAATTAAGCAGTTGGTTTCTCCAAACGACACAAGACGTTCGCCGCGGCCCACTCCTTGTGGTACCTGCTATATATTTCAGCGTACGAGTTTTAACAGCGGAGCCGCACCTATAATCACCAATGGGGTGCTAGCGACGAGGTTTCCTCTGCAAGTCAGCATGTACGTCCCAGTGTGCAGCCCAGAGAGATAGAACTCGCTCGACGCTGAGATGGATTGAATCATCAAATTAGTACTCCACGCAAAGTCCACGCGTATTGGGATATGATCACCAAATGATCACCGGGACGGTCCAGCGCGCAGTGTATGGCAATATCGATATGGTAGACGGAATGGTCGACTCGGAACGGGAGAGTCGAGGGCTCAATGACCGAGACTGATGATGGTTGGACGGAGAAAAACGCGATGCCATCGAGATTGGCACAAGCCCTCACAAACAAGATCGCTTACGAAACCCATTGTGTTGTCACGGCCACGTACATCCCGGGCCATCGACCAGGTCCACACGGTCCAGCATGGCTTTCATTCCGCAGGAACTCGTCAACGCCATAGTCGCCGAGGTGGACGACGTGAGCTCGCTGAAGGCATGCTCACTCGCAGGATCCATGTTTCGAGATGCCACTCAGCGCGGCCTCTTCCAATCCATTACGCTTACAAGTTGGCCGCACAATATTTCGCAATCCGGAAACTACGCCGCAGCATGTGCTCTCTTTGCTCAGTCACCTCACCTTGCGACATATGTATTGGACTTGAAAATACTGCTTCAGAATCGCAGGGCAGATCTGGACCATCTCCAACATATCCTCCCATTGCTGGTGAAGGTGAGACGGTGCATGATCGACGGGTATGTGCACCAATTCCGATGGCACGACATGACCGAGGGCCTCGACGCCGCCTTCGCCCAATTTTTCTCCCGGGAAACCTTGCGCGAGTTGCGCCTCTTCCGCATCGTCGGCACTGAGGACTCAGTTTTCCTTGGAGCCGCCCCATCCCTGTCATTCTACAACGTGCAGATCGCCGATGTTATTTTTCCGGAAATCTTATCGCTTCTATCGCCCGTCCGGGACTTGAATCTACGCTTTGGCACTGAAGACATTTCCAACTGGTTCGCCAGTCCACGCATTCGATCCCACATGG